TCAACCATCCTCTAATCAATCACTGCCTCTGTCTTCAGCCAAGCTTTTCTCAGTTCTTTCTGACTGTGTCTTCATCCATTCTCTGACAGTAACTATCTGGGTGTAATGCGAATACAATGAGCCCAGGCTTTTAAAGGACTTGGCTTATGAGAGCCTCACAAATGCTTTGGCTTATGTTCTCATTAAAGTAAGCAAAGCTAGAGTGGAGACTTGCTGCATCACTCCAGATGCAGGTAAATCAGGGGTCCCCAGGGCCCGTGATTCAGCACTGGTGAACAGGAAGTCCAAAGGATTAGAAGGAGAAGACTACCTTCTTAGGGGTTGGGGAGTGCCATGAATAATGGCACTGAGACGTCAGCAAAGGAATACAGCCAAACCCTAGTGTAGAGAGAGCTGAGATCCATGCTGGCAGCTGTCATTTTCCTCCACATGGCTGCTTCATGCAGCACCGGAAAGGGGTCTTTATTAATTCCCACTTGCTAAAGGTTGCCAATTTTTCAGGCTGTCAGTGGGAGAGCAAAATTATGACAAAATTGTGTGCTGTTTGGGGGAGTGTTTACTGAAGGTCAGTGTCAGTCTTGCTTGATTTAAGTCTTCCCAGATTTTCTGCAAAGGCCATAAACAGTGAAGTGACGAATTTGGCCCTAGAGCCAGAACAGGGAGGAGGCTCAGCCACGAGGGAGGGCAGGAAAGCACCACCAAGGAGCGGAGAGAAACTAGAAGCATGGACAGGAAGGAAAGGAGGCATTTCTGCTCCAAGGAAGGGAAGGAATACCTCCCTGAGGGGGACAGAGGCAGCAGTAAGTGTGAGAGTCAGCAGAGTGGTTCCGGCTGAGATCATCTGGGGGTGAGAAAGCATGGCTAGTAGGGATGAGGTTTTGGTTAGCTAGAGCACAGAAGCACCAAGGAATTCCAGCCTGCCTGAGCTGAGGCATTAGTTTATCAGAAAGCAGAAGGGGTCATAATTCTGGTAACATCCCAGGCAAAGCTGTCCTCATAAACTGTTGGCAGATTGATGATGGGATAACAGCCTAAGACACAAAAGAGGGCTGGAAAGGTTGGTTTCTTAGGATACATATCCTACGCTTAGGATACATATGCATTATCCTTCCTGTCCCTCCTTCCCTCCTCCTCTTTATCTACAACCCCCCCCCAACACACATGCACACATACATGCAAACACACTAGTTCTATCAGAGAGCAGCTACCTGGGATCTGTTGTTGTGGAAAGGAAAACTCAACCAGGATTCAGAAGGGCTTTGCTGGTAGCTGGCTCTGTGACTTTAGTTGGACATCTATAGCCCTCTGTCCCCCAATTCAGTTTCCTCACCTGTAAAATCAGGAGAATAATTTCTCTCAGGCTAGTTGTAGGGATCAAATGGGATAATGGGTGTGAAAGAGCTTTCATAGCCCTAAATCCCAAGTATCCACCTCTCAAAACTGAAATCAGAATCTCCAGGGATGGGCCCTTGGCCTTGGGATCATGAAAGCGCCTCCAGATAATTCTATGTATAGGCAAAGAACCACTACCATAAAGCACAATACAAAATCCTTCATAGGTTCATTCAAAGTTGTGTTTATTGAGTACTTCCCTTGCCAGCTGCTATACGAGGTGCTTTGGATAAAGCAGAGAGCAGGACAGACATAGTCCCTACCCTTAGAACTTAAACAGTAGGAAAGATAGCCATTGAATAAATAATTAAAGATATATTGCATTCTACAAAGGTAGAATACAGAGCATATGGAAGAATATAATAAGGGACTTAATCTAGTCTGGGAAGTCAAGGAAGATTTTGCTGAGGAAGTGATGTTTAAACCATGACCTGGAGGACAAGCAAGAGACATTCCTTGTGATAATGATGGTATCTTTAACTTGGGGCCATCTATAGTCCCTGAGTTCACTCAGTGCTGCCTTAGCTTAGCAAGTGTTCTTTTTGGCTTCCGTGCTAAATACTGATCACAACAGCAGTGGCCCAGCTGTACTTGGGAAGTGAGGTTGCAGGTGCTAAAAAGTCCCAGGATAACGAGAGGTCATTATCAGACACCTCTCAGTCTCCATCATATGCTCAGTCATTTGCAGGGCCCTCTTCATTTCTGCCCTCTCACCTTGTAGTTGCAGAAGCAAGACTTCTCAGCATTTAGAAGAGGCGTGGCTCTTTATCTTGAGGGGGGAGTAGGAAACAGTAGAAAAGATTTCTTGGTTTAAATCTTGGCTTCACCACTTATAATCTGTGTGATGTTAAGTAACATCCTTAACTTCTCTGAACCTCAGTCTTATTACCCATAAAAGTGATGCTTTAGACTGTAAATTTTATAGGGTTGTTGTGAAGATTGCCTTGAGGCAAGTCCTAGCACTTCACTGCGTTAAAAACTAAAACAAAGAAAAATTTGAAAAAACTTGAAGCTTCTACTTCTAGCAAGATGGTTGTTATTGTTAGGTCCATCGAATCAATTTTTGACTCATAGCAACTGCATGTGACAGAATAGAGCTTCCCCATAGAGTTTTCTAGGCTGTAATCTTTATGAGAGCAGATCGCCAGGCCTTTCTTTCTTGGGGCCATTGTGGGGGTTCAGACCGCCAACCTTCTAGTTAGCAGCCAAGTGCTTAACCGTTGTGCCACCAGGCCCCTTTCTAGCCCTACAGGCTTAAAATTTTTCGTATTATAAAATTTAGGTATTAGATGAACTACAAAACATACATAGCTTAAGTCAAAAGAAAACAGAGGAAATCCCCAAGGACCAAATAAAACAAGCAAAGAAAGAAATTCAAATGAAGAGCTAAAAGCAGACAAATAAATACAGAAGCTGGATATCAGGAACAGAGTCTGGGGTGCATGAGGGAACAAGCGGGAGAAAAGGCCATGAGTCACACACGGTAGGCAGCCAGACCAAAGCCCTCCAGCATCCAGCCCAGACCCTAGAAGGCACCTCTCCCAGGCTGCTGCTCCACCAGGTCACACTGGGACAGCCATTCTGGTCGTCATGGCCCCTCCTTTCTGAGCAGTCTCAGCCTTCCTTCTGGTTGATCAGTGCCCATGCATACCTGTTAAGTATTTAGACTCTCACCCAAAGCTAGTCTGCTCATTGAAAAAAAAGGTGAAAGGGCCTAGGAAAATAATTCATCTGCCAAAAAGAGCTGACAAGGAAACCTCATATCTTTAGAGACTCCCAGTGAGGGGGAAGACTCCTGGGTAAGCACAGGTCTGCCCTCACGTGAGTCTGGGGCTCCAATTTATCTACTATGTGCACCCTCTGGTGATCTAACCTAAGAAACTAAACTGAAAGGGTCCCAGATTGGTAGCTCCCCAGGACCTTGGCAAAAGTCAAGGAGATCTCCTCTGGAAGAACAAGTCTTGAGTACAGATCCCTCAGGATTCTACTCTTTAATCAGGGGATACAATGCGAATGCCTCCACATTCCCCCAGCCTTGTGCACTGTGCGGGGCCCAGGAGCAGCGTACATACAAGTTTAAACAATTTTTAGAAATAAACATATTGAAACATTTACAAGACGCAAGATGAAATGTTATGCCATTTAAAAACTTCACATAAAAAGAAAAATCAACAGTTCAACAGAAAAATAGATAAAAGCTAATATAGACAATTCTTGGAAAGGAATGGCTAGTAAGCATTTAAAAATGTGTGGTCTTACATTTTAAAATGTGCAATATAAAATGTAGAGATTCTTTGAGTTAAACTTGTAAATATAATTGTTTTTATGATAAGACTCAGGAGGGGGACACTAGTAAATTAGTATATATTCATATGCAGTGGGTAGAAGTATAAATTTGTATACCCCTTCCAGATGATAATTTGTTCACTTTTCAGGACATTAAAATGTTCTTACAGTCTTTTCATTTGTTTAAGGGCCATTTGTGAATCTCTTTTGTAATTTATCTGTTCATGTCTTTTGTTCATTTTTCTATACAATTTTTGCTCCTTTGTATCCTCAATTTTTAAAAGCTCTCTATAAATTTGTTATATCAGCTCTTTATCTGTGATATCTGTTATGAATATATTCTCCCAGCTTGTCATTTGTCTTTTAACTTTACTTATGGTATGTTGTTTTGTTTTTGCCATGCCAAAAAAAAATTTTTCTTTTAATGTAGTCAAGTGTGGTTTTTAAAATCCCCTCTACAGATATCTCTCAAACAATGTAATTCTCATCATTAGCTTGCATCCCCCACTTCCTGGAACAAAAGCCCAGGTTAGCTTAGTCCAGCTAACCTCTCCTTCCTCGAACACCCTCCTGGGGATTTGGTTCATTCTGCCATGTTTTATCCTTCTTCCTCATCGTTCGTAACAAGCCAGGTCTTCCAAGGAGGAGGTGTGATGTGTATGCGGGAATACATAATTTACATGTTATTATGACCCAAGAGAACAAGCACAGAACTGGGCATCAGACTTGAGAGTTGCGTTTCCCACAGTTTCTTCAGATACCCCAGCAGGTCCTGGGGGGCAGTCAGAGGCAGAGGTCTGTACCCCTCTTGTATCCATTTGCCTCACTACTTCTCCTGTCTGCAGCCCCACATCTGGGTGGGACCCCAAGTCTTGGTGGGGCCTATACTAGGCCAGATTTGCCCTTCTTCTAGAGAAGAGGAGTTCTCCTTTAGTCACCACTGTGTTGGCAAATGGAAGGGATTTGAGCAAGATCAAACAAACCAGCTCTTATTTCTTACTTCACTCCAAGGGGGTTGAGCAAGGTGCAGATAAAATAGCTGGCCTGGCCTATGTTTCTTTACCAGCTTGTGGGAGTCATGAAATCGCCTTACCCAGAGGCGTTTGGACATCCCATTTCCTGATTCTTACCTCTGCCCACTTTTCCTCTGTTTATGGTGGAGTTACCTGGCACTTCAGTGGGCTGACTTGGACCCTGGGGCATGGGGGTATGGAGACCCATCAATGAATGGGGCAGCTGGAGAGGATGGAGAGGGGTGGCTGTGGCTTAGGCTTGGGGCCCCAGGCTGGGGTCTGAAGGCACTGGCTCCATCACAGTGTGGTCGGACTGCGGCGACGGAGATGCATTGTATGTTACAGAAGAGGAACTGGCTGGTGAAGACGAAGATATGCCGTCCTTCCTGTGCACACAGGAGGGTAAGAGTTGTGGGGGGCTTCCTTCTGCCCTCTGATCTTCTCTCCTCCCCACCCCAACCCCAGGAAGTTCTCTGTATGTGACTTCAAAAACATGGCTGTCCTTCCCCACTGCTTTCTGGAGGGCAAAGGGGCAGAGTTGGGTGGTCCTGGGTTTTGCAGTACAGATAAAGTCAAAGCTTGACACAAGTGAAAGGACTTCTCCTGGGGCCTGTCAGTGACCTCTGTCCCTTCCCCCAGCCAGGCATCCAGTCCCCACACCTATATTTTTGCTGACCCTGAAATGTCCTTTCATTATATCCCATGCTACCCAGGTGGCCCATCTTTCTTCTCAGGCCCTCAGAGCCCAACTTGGCATTTTGTTAATCTGAGAAACAAATGCCACCTGAGCTGTTACTTGGAGTAGGGACTCTCAGTATAAATACTACAGCCATAGTTCCCAACCTTGGTTGCATGTTGTAATCATCCAGGGATCTTTAAAAAAAACTATTGATTCCTGGTTCCAACCCTCATAAATATTAATTTAATCTGGAGTGTGAACTGGGTACCAGGATTTCTAAATGCTACCAGGTAATGTGAAACCAAAGTTGAGCTAGGCTTAGGAATCACACAGTTGGAGGTATCACTGCATTCCTGGAGTCTACCTGCTGGTGGCGTTGACCACCTACCAGAGTAACCAAGCGCACCTGACTTTCTCCTTCCTCCATACCAAGGACCCAGCCACTGGACTGTAGTCACTTATTTGGTTTCTGGAAGAACTGCTGGTTACTTGCAAAATTTGAGAACTTGGTGATCAGTTTTCCTGATTTGCGCAGGACTGAGGGGTTCCTGTGACATGAGACCTTCAGTTCTAAAACCCAGAAAGTCTTGGACAAACGGGAACAAGTTGGTCACCTAAAGTGAAACAATGCTGGCTACCTCATTTTGTGAATTATAACCAGTTGTCATCTAGTTGATTCCAACTCATGGCGAATCCATGTGTGACAGAGTAGAACTGTGCTCCATAAGGTTTTCAGTGGCTGATTTGTTGGAAGCAGCTCACCAGGCCCTTCTTCCAGGCCTCTCTGGGTGGACTTGAACCTCCAACCTTTTGGTTAACAGTCGAGCACGTTATAGGTAGGGTGAATCTAGAGGGAGGAAGTGTTTTCCCCCGCTGTGGACAGAATGATGATACCATATAGAGAGAGTGATGGGGGCAGGGTTGGATGGAGTTTTTTGAAGCCCCTGACTCTTCTATTCCTTGAAAGCTCTAAAACCTAGAGAAAAGGAAATAAGACTGAGTGTTGAGAACAACACCCCTTCGGAGCCTGGTGTGAAATGTGATGAGACAGGCCAGAGTAGGAACATGGAACTGATGACACTTTAGCTGCAGGCTCAGCCACTGGCCTAAGCCCCTTCCCTCCATCTGTACCCCTACAGGCCGGCCGGGGCCCCGCTGCAGCCGCTGCCAGAGGAATCTGTCCTTACACACATCTGTGCGGATCCTTTACCTCTTCTTGGCCCTGCTCCTGGTGGCCGTGGCCGTGCTGGCCTCCCTGGGTGAGTGTGGCTTCAGAAGCAACTGGCTGGCCCAGGGGTCACCACGCCCGGCTGCAGGGGAGTTTCTGGTGAGATGTCAGGTGCTGAAAACCCCCCTCAGAGACAAACTGACCTTGGTGACTCAGGGCCTGAGAACCAACCTCTTTCTGACTAGGGAATCTTAATGTCTAGTCCAAACTATGAAGACTGGCTTCTAATTTCTGGCCAATAATTTAGCTGTGTGGCCTTGAGCAAGGCACTTCCCCTCTCAGGAACATCATTTTCCCTTTGGTAAATGAGAGTGTAGGACAAAATCAGGGGTTCTCAATTTCAGTTGCACATTAGATTCATTAGCTTTAAAAAATGTTGATGCCTGGGTCCCATCCCAGATTAATGGAATTTTAATCTCTGGGGGTGGGGCCTAGACATCAATATTTTGAAGATGATTCTGTTGTACATCCAGTGTTGAAAATTCCTGGGTCAGGTGATTTCTAAGCCCCTTCCATGGCCTATGTGTTTTTCTCAAAGCATTTAGAGGTCTAAACCAAAAACGAAACCTGTTGCTGTTGATTCTGACTCTTAGCAACCCTATAAGACAGAGTAGAACTGCCCCATAGAGCTTCCAGGAATGACTGGTGGATATGAACTGCCGACCTTTTTGTTAACAGCCAAGCTCTTTCTTAACCACTGTGCCAGCAGGGCTCCATTAGAGGTCTACCTACATCAAAATCACCACTAGTATTTGTTAAAATGCAGATTCCTGGGCCCCACCCAGAGTAACTAAATCAGAGTCCTACAGGTAAGGCCCAGGGATCTGAAGTTTGGTGCTTCTCATAGGTAATACAGTTTATAAGAACATGGTAGCTGACCATGGTGATGCCATACAGCCAGATTCACGTAACTTTCACCTTCTGGAGACTGTTTATGGTAAACTGATTAAAACAAATATGGTGCTTTCTCACTGTAATCTCATTCCGGTTGTAGCTTCCAATTAGGGCTTTGAAACAGTTCCTTCTGGTTCGACACCCTGCTGAGAATTGGCTACCTAACAAGTTCCCAGGCGATGCTAATGGGGCTGATTAGGGAGTCAAGACCAATTCTGAGAACCACTGGTAGAGCAGTGGTTCTCAAAATTTATTATACATAAGAATCACCTGGGAATCTTGTTAAAATGTAGATTCTGATTTAGTATATCTTGGGGTGGAAATACAAGTTCTCAGCAGGGTTCAAACCGGAAGTTCCTATAAGGGTAGTCAAAGCAGGTATTTTTACTACTATTTACAGGTGAGAAAACTGACAAATTAATAGCAGATTTAGAACTCAGGCCTCCTGAATCCTAGGACAGCGTTTTTCCTTTATGTTATTCCCTAACCAGCAGCATTAGCATCACCTGGGAACTTGTTAGAAGTGCAAATTCTCAGCAGGGGTTAGAACCAGAATGAACTGGTTCGGAGCCCTGCTTCAAATGTTGAAAATCCAGACTCCTTTACTAAATTAAGCCAATAGGTTTGTTTGTTCCAATCTACTAGGTATTAGAGGCAAGGCCGGGACTAGGGTGAGGAAAGCAAGGCACCAAGGGTGTCTCTCGCTCTCCAGTGTGGCCCTGCACTTGAGTGACTCTGAGCATGAGTTCCTCCTTAAAATGATGTTTAGAGATGCTCAGTAACCAGTCTTTGTGGCTTGTAGGCAAAAGGTCAGCATGTTAATGATTTCAATAGACACTCTAGTCATCTCCTGGTAGTCCTGAAGGCATTACCCAACCCAACAAAAACCAAAGAGTATGTGCCAAGTATTAGGAACTTTATGGTGAGGTCAGTTACATTTGCTGCCTTCAAAGATTTCACCATCAAAAGGAGTGTTTTTCAACCTTTCCTGCACATTAGAATCTCTTAGAAAACATTTGAAAATGCTCATGCCAGAGCCCCACTTCAGATAAATTAAATCATAATCCCTAGGATAGGACCCAGGCCTTAATATTTTTTAAAAGCACCTCAGGTGGTTCCAGTCCCAAGCCCCTCACTCCCATTCAGTCCCTACATCTCTCTGCTAATTCACCTCACAGTGCTTAATCCCCACTACTGTCAAGTCAATTCCAACTCATAGTGACCCTATAGGACCAAGTAGAACTGCCCCATAGGGTTTCCAAGGCTGTAAATCTTTACAGAAGCAGATTGCCATATCTTTCTCCCAGCAGCTGGTGGGTGTGAACTGCTGACCTTTTGGTTAGCAGGCAAGCACTTTAACCACTGCGCCACCAGGGCTGTCTTCACAGGGCTTAGCCCCGTAGAAAGTGGTCAAAATCCTGGACCAGAGGAGTGGAGGAGCCACAGTCCTGACCATTAGAGAATTGTAAAGGTTCCTGGTTAGCCCTTTCAGGGCCTCAGCACCCAGCACCTGAGGGACCTGGAGCCACTAATAAAGCTCCAAAAGCCACCATTCAAGGACCTAGAGAAGAGCATAGGCACTAATGCACTGCAAAGGGCACAGACACTTAAACGAGTACCCACAGTGTGCCATGCTGTTGCATACCTAATATCCTTGAATCATCTCTACAACCCCATGGAATAGAATGCTAGCCTCATTCCACATATGAGGAAACAGATCTGGGAAGATGAAATGATTTGCCTCAACATCTAGAGTGAACGGGTAGAGATAATAAGAATCGGGGTGAGGAGTGTGTGTTTGAGAGAATCAAGGGAGACCTTTGTTGTTGCTTTTAGCAGCCCAGACTCATGGCAGCCCCATGTACTATGGAACTGCCTGCTTCTGAGCCATCCTCATGATTGGTTGCAGATCAGACCATTATGATTCATAGGGTTTTCTTTGATTGATTTTTGGAAGTAGATTGCCAGAAATCTCCTTTTTTGTTTTTACCTCCAGCCTGGGTATCCCAAGCACCTAGAACAGGGCCAGGACCAACTTGGCCTGGTTGGTACATACTCAATATTTGCTGAATGAATGACTATAGATTTGTGGTGTCATGAATAGTCCTAGTCAATGCTTTGTGCTCAGGACTGTGGCCAAAGTAAAGAAGGTTGGGCAAAATCCTTCTTTCTCTTATTTGACATAGAAAAACATTAATCAGTATTCATTTAATCAAGTATTTTTTGCAAACATACTATGTATAGACCAAGAACTATACTAGACACTGGGCATATACTGCATAATAAAACACAGGCCCTGACTTCATGGAGTTTTTAATCTAGAGCAAGGTTCAGGAAACTATTTCTTAAAAAGCTAGATAATAAATATTTCAGGCCATGCACTCTTTGTCACAATCAAACTCTGCCATTGTCGAGCAAAAGCAGCCATAGACAATATATAAATGAATGGGGATGGCTGTGTTTCAATAAAACTAGCATTGGGCTGGATTTGGCCTGCAAGGGCATAATTTGCTGACTCTTGGTCTAGGGCAATAGTTTATGAACTTTTTTGATTGTGTACCCCATCAGTAAAAAATTGATTTAAAATATATTTAAAAAATTAGGTGGATTGAGAGATGGTTAAAAGGATAAAATAGATGAACAGGTATCTGACAAAGCAAATAGAGCAAATGTTAGTTGTAGAATCTAGATGGTGGGCACATGGGTATTCCCTGTAAAAATCTTTCAAATTCTCTGTTTGAAAAGTTTTATCATTAAATGTTGGAAAAGAAGAAAAAAAAGGCTTACACCTCCAAAATATAACTATTTATAAATTATATATGAGTACTACACAGGATATATTATAAAACATAGACATTTTTGAAAGAATGATTAAAAAAAATAAGGTCTCGAAGCAGAGCCAACACAGCACCCTAGACAAATGTGTCATGCCATCCCTCTGCAGCAAAGACCTGAAAAACTAAGTAAAACAGATATAAATGTCAATCCTGGAACCCTAAGCATCAAATAAAGGGATAAAGAACTAGATTAAACACCAAATGGAAGACGAAACTGAAGGAAAACAGAACAAGGGGAGGTACAGAGTGGAGGTCCTCTGCCAACTAACACGGTTCACGTCTCCATATTGGAACACAGCTAGCAACGACCCTGGCCAGGGAATAGGGGAAGGCAACTTCACGGAGCTCCCAACAGGAGACAGAGCACTCGATAACCAGAGGAACATACTTTCCCTTCCCTCACTCTTCTGCCCCATACACCACCCCTTTCCCAATGGGCAACACTGCGCTACTCAGCTACAGAGCTCCCAGCCCACCATCACCCAGGGTCCACCTGGCCTCCACTCGCTGGCTCCTGCTGCACCATTTTCCCCCTTTCTTTCTTTTCTTTCTCCCTCCCACCTAGACCATTTTTTCTTTCTCCCTCTTTTCTTTTCTTTCTTCCCCCCTCCAGCGCTGTACACCATCCCTCTTCCCACAAGCCCTCACTGTGCCACCAAGGATAGAGCATCCTTGGCTCAGGCCTGCTGCTGCACTTGTCCACATTGTCCCTCCCTTTCTGCCACTCTACCAGCTGCTGAATAGTGGGAAGCAAGTCAGTACCACTCCCTGTCCAACACCCCTGCCTATCTGGGGAGGGGATGTGAATGCTTCTACACGGCTGGACCAATAACAGGAGGCAGACAACACCTTCCCAGTCTACCCTCAGCCACCTCACCAAACTAGTGTACAGTGAAAAGGGATTTCCCTGCCTGCTGCCGCCCTGCCCACCCGCACAAGGTGGTGAGAGCTATCATGCCCATAGATACATAAGCAGCAAAGCATACCTGGCCCACCCACTGTGACATATCAAAACAAAACAAAGAAGCAGGATGAGACAAATGAACATACAATCAATAAACAAAATAATACCTTAACATCTCAGAGACAGAGACAATATCAAAACATATAAAAAATCAAGATAAGATGGCTCCAGAAAGTGACCAAAATAAAGAATCAGATGGCTTTCTCGTAGAAGAAAAGGCAGTGGAACTACATGATGTGGAATTCAAAAGACTAATATTTAGAACTCTCCAAGAGATTAGGAAAGATATCAAAGAAAGACAACACCAAGGAAAAAATAGACAAAATCATGGAAAAC